CTCAGTAATTTTTCACCTAAAATAAGGATTGAAAAGCAAATATATATGGACAGTTGTATAATATGATTCATAATAATTGCTGTTACTAATCTCTGTTGTTTTAGATTAGAGATTTGGCCAGGTTATGTAACTGCCATACATGAATTTGAAGGTGGTTTAATGATGTTAGCAGATGTCTCGCACAAGGTATTGCGTAACCAGAATGTATTGGATTATATGTAAGTTCAATTTTAATGACTAAAAACAAATTCAGAAATTGTATTACTTAAAGTACACCATACCAAAATGTTGGCATCGCCTTCTGAAAGATGCCTTCTGATGGTAAGACACATATTGCAAACCAGCATAATAGTTGGGAATGTTGCTGTGTTGGTGTCTTGGAACAATAAGATGGAGCTAACATTGTATTGTAAGATGGCATGTAGTATAAGCCAATAAACTGTCATATCATTTGCCAACTAGCATAATGATGGAGCTTCATATGGTATAGATAGGCCAATGCACTGTGATGTCGTCTTTTTATGTACTGCCAAAAGTTCAAACTGTCTTACTACAAGTGTAACTTCTGAGATGTCATTTACCAACCAGCACAGTGTTGGCCAGTGCACTGTGATGTCATTTGCCAACCAGCACAGTGATGGCCAGTGCACTCTGATGTCATTTGCCAACCAGCACAGTATTGGCCAGTGCACTGATGTCATTTGCCAACCAGCACAGTGTTGGCCAGTGCACTGTGATGTCATTTGCCAGCAAGCACAGTATTGGCCAGTGCACTGATGTCATTTGCCAACCAGCACAGTGTTGGCCAGTGCACTGTGATGTCATTTGCCAGCAAGCACAGTATTGGCCAGTGCACTGATGTCATTTACCAACCAGCACAGTGTTGGCCAGTGCACTGTGATGTCATTTGCTAACCAGCACAGTGTTGGCCAGTGCACTGTGATGTCATTTGCCAACCAGCACAGTATTGGCCAGTGCACTGTGATGTCATTTGCCAACCAGCACAGTGTTGGCCAGTGCACTGTGATGTCATTTGCCAACCAGCACAGTCTTGGCTTGTGCACTGTGATGTCATTTGCCATCAAGCACAGTATTGGCCAGTGCACTGTGATGTCATTTGCCAACCAGCACAGTGTTGGCCAGTGCACTGTGATGTCATTTGCCAACCAGCACAGTGTTGGCCAGTGCACTGTGATGTCATTTGCCAACCAGCACAGTCTTGGCTTGTGCACTGTGATGTCATTTGCCATCAAGCACAGTATTGGCCAGTGCACTGTGATGTCATTTGCCAACCAGCACAGTGTTGGCCAGTGCACTGTGATGTCATTTGCCAACCAGCACAGTGTTGGCCAGTGCACTGTGATGTCATTTGCCAACCAGCACAGTATTGGCCAGTGCACTGTGATGTCATTTGCCAACCAGCACAGTGTTGGCCAGTGCAGTTTGAATTGATTTTGTACATGGATCGACAAACGCATTGTGCTGCAACATTGCCCATATGTTCTTTTATCAACCAAAAAATGTACATTGACATACAATATGCATGTACATTTATTGTCACTGCCATATTGTTTCATATTACCAAAATATCAACATTCCCAGCTAGTTTGCAGTAACTGTAATGACAGTCTCAGTGAACATTGCCATTACTTTTAATCAAATGTGAACAAATGGTTCTTGACAACCATTCACACATGGAAAAATTGTTAACAAGTAGCATCATATTTGTGTACCAGAATTATGAAATTGATTCTCCTAACTGTGTGGATCTTATTGATTAAAAACCACTATTGAAATAAAATAAGATATATTTACAAATATAAACTTTATTTTTCAGGTATGAGCTATTTCATAAATATCCCAAGACCTTTCAAGAGGAATGTACTCGTCGACTTGTGGGTAATATTGTACTTACACGGTATAACAACAGGACTTATCGTATTGATGATATTGCATGGGATAAAAATCCCAACTCCACATTTAAGTATGGCAGAGATGATCAGGACATGTCATTTGTTGACTACTACATGTAAGCTTGATCTAAGTTGAGTATTCTCTGTAGCATTGCAAACTGTTTATGATCAAGTGATATAAGCTAATTGTTTGTAGTTAGGTAAATTAATTAAAGCAGGGGTGTTGTCACCTGCGCATGCGTCAGATGACCATAGCGTGTCATTGTTTACAAACAAGCGTCTACCCATGAGCCTTTGCATTTTTAGCGTGTGTTGTTATCTTCGCTTGGGACTCAATTCCCATGTGTGCGCAGGTGACACCCTCCCGCTTTAACTACAAACCAGTATTTTTACTCCTTTTTTGGATGCAGTGTGATATTAAGGGGACTTGCAGATTGACTGTGTGTGTGTGTGTGTGCTTCTCCATCTGTATTTCAGACATACCCGGACTGATCACATTCAAACCTCGCACATACATCATGTATTTTGAGATGTGTATGCATTTCATTTGTTTAACGATTTGATTCCAAATGGCAACCATTTTTGTGCTAAAAGTTCATCAAAATCAATCATTCTGTAATTCTGGAGCCGGTGCTCGGTTGTGTATAGAATATTATTCAAACTTGGTTCTGTTTTTCAGATCAGATTCAAATTGGCTGACTGGTGGCCATTTGATTTAATGAATGAATTTCTGAATTCATACCTCTGACATGTTCTGTGCATTTGTATTCTAACTTTTTATGTTTCTTAAACTTGATAATTCACTATATAATGCAATTACTTATCTCCACATCTACATATGTGCATCTTCAGTGAAAGCTGATAAGTCATTTTGCTCCAATAGAAGCACAACAATGTTTTTGGATTCCTTGATGTTTGAACAATTTATGTTTTAAAAAAATAATTTATATATATGAATCAAGTGTTCAGCAAAAATGGTCATTTCCGTACTTCAGTCTTTTTGTTGCATTCGTAGGAAATCATACAACAAGAAGATTTCCGATCTTGAGCAACCATTGTTGATCAACAGACCTAAAAAGAGAAGTGCTGAGGGATCAACAGCTGAGTTACCAGCACAACAAGAAATTATCTGTTTAGTTCCTGAGTTAGCTAGTTTAACTGGCCTCACAGATGAAATGAGACAGGATTTCAGAGTTATGAAGGTAACCCATTCATATTCATATTCATTGTTTCAAATTACTGTGAATGTGAATGAACTTTTCTTTGTTCTAATTCTGTGTGACATCTAAGCATTTATAAAGCACCATTGATTGACAAAAATGCTAAATAATTGGCACATTGTTGACAACAGAAAATCTGACAGTCATCTTGAAAAACGTTATATTGCTTTTACAGAACTTGTAATTTAGTAAAACAAAATTTATATTGCAGTTACGGAATAAGTGCAAAAATAAAGTAAAATTAGGGAACACAACATTTTTGTCTCAATTCACATACACAGTCTCATATAATTTGTTTTTTCTTGAACTTCTTCCCAGCAGTCAACTTGATTTTGGGGATTCCATTTTGACTCTGCATCCAAACAAAATCAGTTCTGTGCACTGATCCAGAAATTCTCATCACCATAATTACTTTTATAAAAATTCTTTCTGTATTTATTTATCACATTTTGTTTAATGTGTGGTTAATCTGAAAAGCTGATGTGTGACCATATTTTAAATTGCATGAAATTACTGCTTTCTATAGTTTGTTTTGTGCATTCATCTTTTTGTGCCTGATTTTTGAATACGGTGAATATGGTGAACATATAGAAGGGATTTTCATTGATATCACAATATTTCTGAAATGTGCTAGGACATTGCAAGTCATACCAGGGTAACGCCTGCACAGCGAAGGCTTGCTATGATGAACTACATTGAACGTGTCAATAATACACCAGAAGCCAAACAAGAACTAGCCAAATGGGGTTTGGAATTGGACACAGATATCATGAAGGTATGAGTAATTGAATACACAGTTCCCCTATAACTGCCTCCTCATTCTATTTAATATTTGCCACAGTTGTCGGTTTCTATGGGCATGCAACGGTTGCATGCAACAAGTATCCAGTCATGCTTATTATGCCTATACATTTTATTCTCATCCTGAAAACAGGAGCTTGTGGATTGACCTCTGTACGTCTCGCCTGTATCTCGAACATGGCTAACCTGATTACATTCATACTTCGCATATACACCACACATTTTTGACAATAAATGCACATCTGTTTGTTTTTGATCCAATTTACGATTGCTGAACAGCGGCCATTTTTGTGCCAAGAATTTCTGCCATTCAGGAGCGGATCTTGGTCATGAATGAATGGATTTCGTTCAAGCTTTGTACATACATTATACATTATGAGACCTTTATATGAACTTTATATATATTTCTTAAACTTGATATCTTAGTATAAAAAAAAAAAGTTTACTAGCAATAAATTGTTTGGGGCCATAGTTGCACTCTCTCTTTCTGGGGATATAAAACCATGGGAGTACAGCTTGCTCTTTTAGCTCGGAATCTTCATAAATGTTACAGGTGTAAGATGCAGGTACAGATCTAGCTTCAATTTAAGTTCTGCATGGACTCAAGAAAAATCTTTATTTAAGAGGTGCTCGCCAGCCGGCTTTAAGTTTATCCAGGTTATATTATTAAGTCTAAAAACCTAGTTATTGAGTGTTATGTCATTTCTTCATACATAACTGTGCAAAAGCCACTATGAATATGTATTGATCAACTTTAAAACTTTTTAAAGTTTTATAATTTTCTTCTACTAGATGAATAATATTTAATGCATTGTTATGATTGCTTGCAGACTGAAGGACGTGCATTACCACCTGAGAAAATAATCTTTCAACGCAAGACCATTACAGCTAATGCTGAAGCTGATTGGGGTAGAGATCTAACTCGAGATTTGGTTATTTCTCCAGTAAGTTATTTGTACTATTTCTGGTATGGTTTGCCTTCTATGGATATTAGTGTGTCTACTATTTTCTAGTTTCATGTTATATATCCTGGTTTAGTTATTAAAGCCACGAGCCACGCCGAGGGGGTGAGGCGGGGAAATCAAGCCTAGTGACTCAATGTACATACCCCAACCCTTGATTCAGAAGCAGTCGCACTCTGCAGCTTCGTCGCTTCCGGGGTCACGGGCGTCGGGATCCAAAGCAACACTGTCTGCACGACTTCCCTGGTCCGACGGAGTGCTGGACGTAGCGGAGGGCACACTGATGGTGTTGATGGGTGGACGTTGGTCCCCTGCGAAAAAGTCTAATCCTAAGGCCCCAGGGTGGGCAAACTTATGCTTAACTTTGTCCGCTGGACCAAGCGCTACCAGCAGAGACTGGAGCGAGACCTCACGCCCGACCGGATCCTTTGGTTCCTTCCCCGACCCTGGTACCATGAACTTTTGTTTCATGGAATTTTTTGGCAGCTTAATTTGAAAAGATCCACCATGCCCTGAGAGCGGATTTGCGACCCATCAACTTTTTAGCCCGCTGTCGACTTTGTCGAGCGGAGCTTATCATATGAGTGATTGTTCGGCGTTGTCCGTGTCAATGTTTTACTTTTTCGACTTCTTCTTGAAAACTGCAAGCCTGAATGCTTTGGTACTTGGTGAATATGTACCTTGGGTAGACCTCTCTCAGATTTGTTCATTTCATGATGATATCTTCAATTGATATTTTTGACTTCTTGTTAAAAACCAAAAGTTCAATTGCTTTGATATTACATATATAGATACTACATGTAGACCTTTCTCAGATTTGTTCATTTCGTTATGATATCTTCAATTCTCTAATTTTGGTAAATATTTTTGTCATTTTTGGTAGAAAGTGATATTTTCGACTTCTTGTTAAAAACTGTAAGTCCGATTGCTTTGATACTATACATATTGTTCATTTTCTAATGATGTCTTCAGTTCTTTAATTGAAATGTGCATTGCTAACAGCGGAGCTATCTCAGCCTATGATAGGCTGCTTGTTCATTTTGTAATGATATCTTTAATTCTCTAATTTTGGTGAATATTTTTGTCATTTTTGGTAAAAAGTGATATTTTCGACTTCTTCTTAAAAGCCGCAATTCCAATTGCTTTGATATTACATATATAGGTACTATATGTGGACCTCTCTTAAATTTGTTCATTTTTGACTCCCATGTGCGAAGCACAAAATGGGAGTCTTTGCAGTTAGTGTGTTTGTATGTGTGTGTGTGTGTGTGTGTGTGTGTGTGTGTGTGTGTGTTTGGATTGCTATATGTTGCGAGGACAAAAATACAGATATATACCTACTTCCGAGGACATACACACCTTCC